TTATCACCTTGTGGAGTGAGGAGTCCAGACTGTCCACACACCACTGAGCTCCCACCTACTGTGTGCCGGGCACTCTCTACATGTCCGTTATCTGATTTTATCCTCACACAGCCCTGAAGGCTGGGTACCCGCTTCCTGAGCTGGGGGACCTGGCCAGGTTCTGTCCCCAGCCCTGGCAAGAAGAGGCGGGAGGACCTGTCCACTCCTGCTGCTGCTTGGGCGGCTCAGCACGGCCGCTGTGCCGGCCACCTCCCCTCACACTTCATTGCGCCCGCCGTGCACCGCCACCCTGGGAAGTCGCTCTTATTAAACCCCTTTTTGCAGGTGCGGGACTGAAGCTGTCCCAGAACACTAAGCCAGTAAGAGGCAGGTTCCAAATTTGAATCTTCGAGTCTTTCTGACTCGAGGTCTATGTTCTTTCCTCTTCTCAAGCGGCCTGTGATGTGCGAGGTGAGGAGGGGAAACGAGTAAGCGAAACCAAAAGGCACCCTCTGCGCTTCACAGAGCCCGTTGGTGGGGGGAACTCCAGGATGTGAAACAGTCCCAAGCTGCTGGGACCCAGTGTCAAAGGCAGGCAGACAGCAGGGGGCTGTGAGCTCAGAGGTGGGTGAGAACTCTGGGTCCTGTGCCCACAGGTCAGGTCACCTAAGGCAGAGGGCTAAGGAAAGTGCCTGGAGTCAGGAGACCCAGTAACCCCATCCAGTTTTGTGTCTAACCTGCAGGTGTCCTTTGGTGGAGTTGCTTCCTCCAGTCTCAGTTTATCAACCTATGTATTGGGTCCAATAAAAGCCCCCTACTTACCTCTCATGGAAATCAAACCTGATCAGGCACAGGGATTTCAAAAGTACAAACTGAGGTTCAAAGAAGACACACCCTTACTAGTCGGATGTGAGGGCGTCCAGCGGCCGCCAGCTCCTCAGCAGGATTTGCTGGGGGTGAGGCTGGCTGGAGGCGCAGATGGGCACCGCTGTGTTTGCAGCTTCGGGCTGTGGAAGAACCAGGTTGATTAAGACCTAATAATCCTATTCACAGAAGTTGACAATCTGGCTCAGAGACAGACAATACAATGCAAATAAATGTCACTGGGAGAAATCAGATTGTATAAGGATGGGTGACTCCTCCAGGCTGCCCGCCGGGGCCTCAGAATCTTCCTCTTTACTGGTCAGTGCCGTGAAACTTCCCACACTCGGCTTTTATGCAGATGGCGAAAGGCTGTGTAGAGATATCTAGGCTCTCTGTCACTAACTAGACTCATAACATTTTTAGATGCAACGAACCACACGGCTAGATACCTTGTGATCAGCTCTAGCTGCCCCCAGAGCCTGCTCTGGGTGTCACCTGTGGTCCATTCCGGGTGTCCTGCTACAGGGCAGGAAGGCGCCAGCTTATGTGCACGTTGCTTAAAGTAAAAATCGGTCACAGTAGCTAACATAATGGAGCACATATCCTTATGGGGTTCTTCACCCTACAAAAATTATCTTATCTAATCCTCACCCCATAAGAGTTAATCATCTTTAATCCTGTAAAACTGTCTGCTGCTCCAGGGAAGCCCCTGTACCCTGTGTGTGACCTTAAGCCCGTGAGGGCAGGGACTCAGAAGACCCTACCCAAACATTAGACACCGTCGTCTTTATAGAAGAAATAGAAGCCCTGTCATTTACAAAAACACCCACCAGTGCATGATCTCATTTGATTCTCACCACAACCCTAAGGTCCATAGGATTACCCTCCTCTTCATCTCATAGAGATGAAGGAACTAAGGCCCAGAGAGGGGAGTTGACTTGTCCAAGACCACACAGCTAGTAAGTGGCAGGGGAAGTACTAAACCCATCTGCACCAATCCTGGGCTCTTTCTATTCCAACAGCCCCTGGCACAGAGCAGATGCCCAGTGAATATTCAATCAGTTATGTCATTGAATCGGGTCCTGCGCTGCGGCATGGAACTTTCTGGGCCTTCCTCAGGCCCATCCCTCCCAACGCAGGACTGAGGGGAGGCAAGGTCCTGCCCGGGGAGTGCGCTGGGCTTCCTCGTATGCTCTCCTCTGCCCAGCCACACACACACTCTTGTCATTGGTCATAAACTCATGCTGCTCTTAAAAAAGAAAGAAAACCTGTCCCTACTGCTTATCTCCAGGGAGGCGCCCGATTCCCCTGCCCCCCACCACGCTGACTCTGCACAACACGAAGAAATATTTCTTCTTATTTGTGCTAAATTTACTGCCCAGTAATTTTTCTGTTCTCATTTTCTGCTTTTTTTTTTTTTCCTGAGTCTCAACCAGCCCCGTAAATCGCCACTGCCATTTCCTCTCCAGTCCTAAAAGGAAAAATCACCCCAGCTTTGGTAGCCTACAAGGGGGGCTGGCTTGTCTCCCAGAGGCCTTGAGACCCTACCTTGAGTCATCGGGGACTTGCAGCCCTGCTTCAGGGCCAGAGGGCAGGCACACCTCCCTCACTGGCCACCTCTGCCTCATTGCTGGAACTCAGCCCCGAAAAGCCCCATGGCATCAAATGATTGTCCTTGGCGCGCCCCTCACTCTGACATCCGGGGTGGAGAAGAGGCAAACGTGCAGAAGAGGCAGCCACTGGTCTTGAGTGCTGGTGGCCTAGATGCAGGGGCCACTCAGTGTCCTGCTGAGTTATGTTTGGAGGGTGCTTGGTGGGATGCAGGCTCTGGCACCCACGTCACCTGGCTGAGTTTTCCCTAGGGCCCAGGTGTGGAGGGGAGGGTGCAGCTAGCAAGGGGGTCCTGGAAGAGGAACCAGCTCAAAACAGCAGAGAGGGAGGTGTGTTCAAGGAAGAATGGAGTGTAAAAGACAGGACCAAGGGGGACAGGGTGGCAGAAAGGTGTGGCCCTTTTTCAGGCGGGGGCTGGCAAGGCAGAGCCCTGACACGGGTGGACGGCAGTTTGGACTCTCCTCCAGTGGCCGGGTCACCGGTGGTCTCTGAGCAGGGTCTGCGGGAAGTTTGCGGAGAGATCAGCTGCCTGGGGCCAGGAGAGTTCCTGAATTGGGGTTGGAGTCCAAGGCTTGGGGACAGAGGGACTCAGGGTGGTGTGGGTGGGGACGCAGGGGCAGCCTTGAATCACCTGTTTCCGTAGCTTGTGGGGGCATCCAAGGGAAAGGCTCGGCTCACACGGAAGGGTAGACAGGGCGGGACTGGGAGGAGGGACAAGGGTTGGAGACACCTCCGGGGCTCAGTCCTGGGCTGCCTCGTGCTTTCTGTGTGCTCTCAACCTGAAGTCCCCGGTGCCTCAGTTTCCCTGTGTTGCCAGTAGGAGGATCTGACAGTGATTACACTTCAGGCAGTGTCTGGCACAGAGCAAACACTGATGAAAGGCAACGGTTTTCAATGTTTAACAGAAAAGGCAGCTGAAAGAGGGTAAATAACTTGCGTCAAGTCACACAGCTGGCAAGCCTATGACAGCACTCAAGCCATACAACGTCCACTCCTCTGCCCTGGCACAGGCCCGCAGGCGGCCACCAGGGGGCGCCCTGGCCCCGGGAGACACCGACGCTGGCCGAGCTGCCTTGGAGCCTCTGCTCTCCTGGTGGCCAGGCAGGGGAGGAGCAAGATTGATATTAAACCCCTGTTTTACAGATTGAGTTGCTGCACACCTCCCTAGTAGGAAATACAGTCAAGACTAAAATCTGCACCTCCTCGCTCACAGTGCAGTGATCTTTCGAATAAAAATGCTTTTATTTAACCGGAATATTTGCTGTACCCGGTTCCCCAACCCATTTTACCCCAATGCCAAGGCCTGGGCCAACTAAATGTGCATTAACTACAGTTTGACAAAGGTTAAAATGGCCGTAGGGGTTAGGAGCCCCCTGGAAATTTGGGGTGGGAGAGAATAAACAGGGGGGAACTCCGAGCTGCATTTTGTAGGATGCATTCAATTTTAACAGAGGGCAGGGCTGCAGGGAGAGAAAAGGGAGGGAACAATGCATGCAAAAGCTCCGTGCTAACTGTCTGGGAGAGGAGCCAGATGAGACTGAGGCCACCAAGCAAGGACTGGTGGGCAGGGAGATGCCAGGCCCAGGAAGGGATGGGATCACCTCTGTGCCTTGCCCAGAGACCCTTTGGGGCTGGGGAGGGAAGCCCGGTGTAGGACAGTGCCCGGCACTGAGGAAGCAGAGAGTCTGGGGGGAAAGTTAACCCAAATTCTCACTGTCCTAATTACTAGTTAGATGGTACCGCCACATCTCTGAGCCCCGCCCTTGCCAGCCCCCCAGGGCCCTGTTCTCTCCCTGTGGGAGGGCCTTAGGAGCTGCACACCCTAGTGCAGGTGGTGCCATTCATCCAGACCTGGGCATCTGCCCGAGGCTTCCAGAGTTCCCGGTTCACACAGGGGCTCACACGCAGCGGGGCTCCCATGCCCCTGGAGCACAGGGGCCCTGTGCACAGAGGTTAGGGGACAGCTTCACCTGCCCATCTCCTCTAGGCTCTGCGACCCCACCAGGTGCCATGTCTGCCTTGGGACAGGCTAGGTTTTTCTAGGAGCTAGTCGAGGTGGGAGGGAGGAAGGTTGTGATCAGGCTGAAGTATAGGGTTTGGGTCTAGCCTCATTGTCATGATTCCTTTGGCCATCCTGGGGTGGTGGGGACATGTTCTTGTCACCCTGGGCCTGGCTGACCAGCTTTGTCTCTTCGTGCAGAGGCACAGAGCTTCGGCCTGCTGGATCCCAAACTCTGCTACCTGCTGGACGGAATCCTCTTCATCTACGGCGTGGTTATCACTGCTCTGTTCCTGAGAGCAAAGGTGGGTGCCCCAGGGCTCTGGGAGGAGGAAGTTCAGAGCGGCCTTGGTCTCAGAAAGTTGCAGGCTGGGGTGGTACCTGGGGCTTAGTATTCAGGGGCAAAGCAGGGACTGGCCAAGTATCGGGCAGGCTGAGGAGGCGATGGGGGTGCCTGTGTGGCTGAGCCTCACGGTGGGTGAGAGGGAGGCCGAGTGCGGGGAGTCTCGGTGAGGAGACGCACAAAGACGAGCCATCCCATCAGAGTGGCCCAGGATACTGCTGGCAAGAAAGGGGCTTACATGCAGGCAATTAAGAGCAGGGAAGTGGGGGACCTGTGGCCTTTTCCCAGGTCCTGCTGTTCAACTGCTCACGTCGGCCTTTCTCTTGAAACCTCAGTTTCCCCACCTGTAAATGGGAGAGTCAGCCCAGAGCACCGGTTTTCACCGGTGGCTTGCAGACCCTGCATTTCTTGGAGGGGCTGGGCATGGTGTGGACCGAGGGTGTGGGAGGGCTTAGGGGGAGGTTCCAGTTCCTGTCTTCCTTGAGCGACCCCCAGCCCATTTCTCTATTGAATTTTAAACTTCGGCATAAGATTTTATTTTAAAAACAGAATCTTACTGACTTTTTAAAGTTTAAAAACGCTGCCTACATGATTGCTAAGGTTGTTTCCAATACTCTGACTCTGTAAGACCTTGCAGCTTCTCTCTGCTGAGGCGGCGTGGACTGAACACAGCGGGGATGTGTAACCTTCGAGCCGATGCTCAGGGCACGAAGCGCGCGCGAGTCTCCCGGGCCCGGGTGTCGCCGGGCCACAGCAGAGGGCGGGGCGAGCGGTGCACAGAAAGCACCCTGCCCCGGGGGTCAAGATAGGAGGCAGGACCTCGTGCAGCTGCCGTCCTGGAGAGTCCCCGGGCTCCTGGGAGCGCGCGCGCGGCCGCGAGCCCTGCGCCTCTGCGCACGCGCAAGGGCGCTTGCCCGGACAGTCAGCTCCCGCCGGCCCGGGGCCCGCCTTGTGGATGCGCCTGTCCAGGGGGGCCGGAGAAAAGACAGTTGCGCTCAGAAAAGGGGCTGCCACGCCCCTGGCCGTTGCGAGGGCTCGGCCCTGGCGGGTGGAGCGGGAGCTGATTGCTGTCGAGGCCGGGAGCAGGGCTGTCCCTCGGGTCGCCGCGGGCCCTGCCCGCCCGCGCGCGGGGCAGTAACGCTGTGCTCCCGTGTGTTCCAGTTCGGCAGGAGCGCGGCCGTCCCTGAGCACCTGCAGGGCCAGAACCAGCTCTACAACGTAAGTCAGCCTTTCCCGAGACCCGCGCGCGCGGGAGGCGGGGACGGTCCTCTCCCGGGACGCGGGGAGCACGCCGGCCGGAGTCCCCGTCGTGGGTCTGCGCCTCACCTATCAGCCCTCGACCTGGCGGCAACTTGTTTCAGCTCAGTTCTCTAACCCGCACAACGGGAATACTGATTGTACCTGCCTGGTGGGGGGTGCCCGGAGGATCCCTCGCGCTTCCCTGCGCCACCTGCCACTAATGGGCCCCCGGCCACCAGCAATGTGCCGAGGGCTGGAGGGCGGGGAAGGAATGTCTCAGAATCACCGCTGTGCAACGACGGGGCTGTGGCCGAATCCATGACCCTCTCTGAGCCTCAGCTGCTTTATTTGCTCTGTCGTTACTTCTCCCATTAGACTGACCCGCTTACAGTAAGAAAAGCACCTCGAGATCCCATCCACCGTTATGGTGACCCACCGTTACGGTGACCGGTGTTCTTTGAGACGCCCTTTGAGATGATGGTATCCGGGTGGACCCGTCACCACCCCCTCCTCAGTCCCTGCCCCTTTTGTGAGAGCCACCAGGGAGAGAGAAACCAGAGACACCAAACTCCGCTGTCCAGCTGGGCCCATCCTCCTGAGGTTCCTTTCCTGTGCCTGACATTGTCCTGTCTTTTTTAGGAGCTCAATCTAGGACGAAGAGAGGAGTACGACATTTTGGATAAGAGACGGGGCCAGGACCCTGAAATGGGAGGGAAGCAGGTAGGGAACGCACCCCACCCCCCTGCCTCTGTGTGTTGTGTGTGTAGGGGTGGGGTGGGGGGATCGTCTCAGTACCTGCACACTCTGCAACCACACTCCACCCTAACCTGTGGGGCTGGGGCAAGAGGACAGGTGGAGACCCTCGGGCTGCAGTCCTCTCTTCCTACCTCCTTGGTTCCATTCAGGATCTTGAGGGCTTTCATGCCTGAAAGTGGACCCCTCCTCACGTCTCAGCTCCACCCACCTTCCCTAAAAGTGCTCCTTGGCCACCCTGAGATGCACGCTGGTGGCACCATCTGCCCAAGGAGAACAGACCCGGTGCAGAAGGGGCCCAAGACCACTGGGCAGGGAGTTCTGGGTCCTGGGGACCCCTGCAGAGCATGGTCAGGGTATGGGCTCTGGGGCTCTTTCCCCTGTGTTTTCCTATAGTAGTTTTACAGCTTCAAGACTGATGTTTAGTGGGCGGGTGTGGTGGCACACACCTGTAGTCCCAGCTACTTGGGAGGCTGAGGCAGGAGGATTGCTTGAGCCCAGGAGTTTGAGGTTGCAGTGAGCTATGATGATGTCACTGTACTCCAGTCAGGGCAACAGAGCGAGACCCTGTCTCAAAAACAAAAACATACAAACAAAAAACTTATGTTTAAATCTTTATAATCAATTTTGAGCTGATTTTTATATATGGTATGAGATAAGGGTCCAATTTCATTCTCTTGCATATGTATATCCAGTTGTCCCAACACTATTTATTGAAGACTGTCCATTTCCCATTGCATATTCTTGGTAACTTTGCCAAAGATAAACTGACTGTAGGTAAGGAAATCTTTTCCTCTCTATTCTATTCCATTGGTCAATTTGTCTATTTTTATGCTTTTACCATTCTGTTTGAATTACTATCACTTTGTAGTATAGTTTGAAATCAGGTAGTGTGATGCCTCCAGCTTTGTTCTTTTTACTCATGATTGCCTTGCCTATTTTTTTTTTGGAAAGGTCCATATGAATTTGAGCATTTTTTCTATATCTATGAGAAATGACCTTGGAATTTTGATGGGGATTGTATTGAATCTATAGATTACTTTGGGTAGTATGGACATTTTAACAATATTAATTCTTCTAATTCATGAACATGGGATATCTTTCCATTTATTTGTGTCATCTTCAATTTCTTTCATTATATAGTTTTTGGTATACAGGTCTTTCATCTCTTTGGCTGAATTTATTCCTAAGTATTTTATTTATTTATTTATTTTTGTAGCTCTTATGAGATTGTTCTCTCAATTTTTTTGAGAAAGTTTGTTGTTGTGGAAAAATGCTACTGATTTTTGTGTGATTTTGCATACTGCAACTTTATTGAATTCCTTTATAAGTTCTGAAAGTTTTTTTTTTTTAATGGAATTTTCAGGGATATCCATGTACAAGATCATGTCATCTGCAAACAGGGACAGTTTAACTTCTTTCTTTCTGATTTGGATACCTTTCTTTCCTTCTTCTGCCTAATCTGGCTAAGACCTCCAGTACAATATTAAACAGAATTGGGGAGAGTGGGCATCCTTGTCTTGTTTCAGATTTTAGAAGAAAAGCTTTTAACTGTTCTCTGTTGAGTATATTAGCTGTGGTTTTGTCATCTATGACCTTTATTGTGTTGAAGTAACAATACATTCCTTCTAGGCTGGGCGCAGTGGCTCACGCCTGTAATCCTAGCACTCTGGGAGGCTGAGGTGGGAGCATCCTTTGAGCTCAGGAGTTCGAGACCAGCCTGAGCAAGAGTGAGACCCCGTCTCTATTAAAAATAAAAAGAAATTAATTGTTCAACTAAAAATATATAGAAAAAATTAGCCAGGCATGGTGGTGCATGCCTGTAGTCCCAGCTACTCGGGAGGCTGAGGCAGAGGATCGCTTGAGCCCAGGAGTTTGAGGTTGCTGTGAGCTAGGCTGACGCCACGGTACTCTAGCTCAGGCAACAGAGTGAGACTCTGACTCAAAAAATAAATAAATAAATACATTCCTTCTATACCTAATGTATGGAGAGTTTTTATCATGAAAGGATGTTGAATTTTGTCAAGTGCTTTTTCTGCATCTAGCGAAATGATAATATGATTTTTGTCATTCATTGTGTTAATGTGATATATCACATTTATTGATTTGTGTATGCAAAACCATCCTTGCACCCAGAGATAAATCTCACTTGATCATGGTAAATGATCCTTTTAAAGTGTCATTGAACTTGGTTTGTTAGGGTCCTCTTAAGAACAGGGCTCAGGGCCGGGCGTGGTGGCTCACGCCTGTAATCCTAGCCCTCTGGGAGGCCGAGGTGTACGGATTGCTCCAGGTCAGGAGTTTGAAACCATCCTGAGCAAGAGCAAGACCCCGTCTTCACTATAAATAGAAATAAATTAATTGGCCAACTAATATATATAGAAAAAAATTAGCCGGGCATGGTGGCACATGCCTGTAGTCCCAGCTACTCGGGAGGCTGAGGCAGGAGGATTGCTTGAGCCCAGGAGTTTGAGGTTGCTGTGAGCTAGGCTGACGCCACGGCACTCACTCTAGCCTGGGCAACAAAGTGAGACTCTGTCTCAAAAAAAAAAAAAAAAAAAAAGAACAGGGCTCAGGACAAAGGCTGGGGCTGCCTCAGTTTAAGGGCAGTACTGTCTGATGCTGCCAGCGGCCCTCAATGTTTCTGGTCACACGTGTCCATTAGCCCCCGTCCAGGCCCTCTGAGCCCTGTGCATGTAACCAGGTGTGGGCCATGGAGTGCTGCGGTCCGATGGTGGCCTGCTCAGGCTGGGCGCACAGGCAGGAGGGAGGCAGGGGCAGGCCTGGGGTGAGGATGGGGGCAGGATGGGGTTCACTGCACTCTCCCGGCCTGGGTTCACCTTTTTTCGCCCTTAATTGCTTCCCCTTTGTCTTTCCTAGCAGAGGAAGAGGACTCCGCAGGAAGGCCTGTACAATGTGAGTAGGGGAGCTTTCGCATTTGACTTTGGGAAGTGGGAGGGAAGGGCTGAGGAGGGCTCTGGATGATGGCGTTTCTCCATACTCCGCCATCTTTGTCCAGCCCCTCCCTTCCCTGGGTCAAGCAATGTCTCACCTGTTTGCTGCCTGCAAAGTAGCACCTGCTTCTAGAACGGCCCCTTAGCTGAAAAGTGACAAGTTTCCCCCATTCCTTCCCTTCCCCCTAAGCCTGCTGCCAGCGTTCCCAGGTTGGTCAGCCTGGGGTGCAGGGGACACAGCGAGGTCAAGCTGGCAGGCCCCTCGGAGGGCCCCCTGGTCCCAAGTGCTGAGGTTCTGAGTGTCTCCTCTGATTGGAAGGTCAACCTCACCATCGTGGGCGTGAACCTGACAGTGGCTTTTGATCTGGGTCTGCCACGAGGGAGCCCCTGCAGGTGGTGGCCTGCTTTAAAGGGAGCCACCCCCGACCCTCCTGGGCAGAGGGGGGCTGCGTCCAGGCCCTGGTGTTGGTGTGTGAAGGGACAACCTGCTCAAATAAATGACTCTGGGGGCCCCAGGTGAGCCCTCGTGTTGTCCAGTACCTGAGTCTTTGTCTAGGACGCCCCATCCTGTCTTTTTGAGCCTTACCTGAGCTGCTTAGCTCGGGGCAGAGGGCCGGCAGCTTAGAGATTCCAAGGGGCTGAGGATGAGGAGGGTGGGCTGGAGCCGGTTGTGGGCAGGGAAGTTTGCGTGAATTAGGTTTGGAGTCTTGATTGTGGGAGCTTCCTGCCAACTCGGGGATCCAGAGGCTCACTCTTGCCGGCCCCACGGTCTGCTGCATTCGGTAGTAAAATCAGCGTCTCACGCCCTCTCCTTCCCCAGGCGCTGCAGAAAGACAAGATGGCAGAGGCCTACAGCGAGATTAGGGTAAAAGGCGAGGTAAGTGTGGCTCTTCCTTCATTCCCAAGGGGGTCCCTCATGGTCTTCCGACACCCCGCTGCAGCCCTGCTCCCCCCCCTTCATCCCACCTGCAGACGCCAGTGCGGCGGCCTACAGAGGCGGAGGTGATCCCAGCTCTCACCTGGGTGGACAGCGCCTAAGAAACTGAGGAAGGGCCGATCCTCTTTCAGGATTGAAAACCAAATCTAGATTCTCTGATTGCCTAAGCTGTGCAAAATGAAACGTGGGGCCCCTTGTTCACAAATGATTAAGGATTTCAATATAGCGAGAGCGAAACATCGAACCCTTCTAAGCAGGGGCCCTGTGTGGTTTTATTTAATTCCCACAACAACCGGATGAGAAACACATGCCCTTTAAGGCAAAAGGAAGTTAAGTAACTTACAACCCAAGGTTACACAGCAAGGTTACACAGCAGGGGAGCCAGGATTTGAACCGACTCAGTGTCAGAGCTCCTAACTGCTCCTGATGGCACTGCCAGTCCCGGTGAGCGTGGGTGACTAGCCAGGGACGGGAAGAGCTGCAGGGAAGCACATTTATTCCAAGCAGTGAAACAAGGCAGCCAGACCCCGGGCGGCCAGATCCCAGGCATTTGACGTTTGTGAGGATCTGAACGGGCAGAGCACAGCCGGGCGTCAGAGCCAGCCCTCGCAGAGGGGAAGGTCTGACGGGCCTGAGGACCCTTCCCTCCGGGGGCAGGGTGCTGCTGGGAGACACCTCTGACTTTCTGGGGACCCTCAGGCAGAAACGCCACTGCTGCCTGCCTGCCTTTCTAATCCTGTTCTCTTTCACTCCTGAAGAACCAGCGGCGAAGAGGCAAGGGGCACGACGTCCTGTACCAGGTACGAGCGGCTGTGCTCCTTCTGGTGGTGGCGTGGGGGGGGGGGCGCGTCTGACAGGGGCAAGATCAAGGCTTCCCCTTTTTGTTTGCGGTGGCACCTGCTCTGGCCAACAGCTGGGCAGGGGAAGCGCAGGGCACCCACTCAGGCCGGTGGTGACCCCTCGACCAGTAAATCCCCAGAGCAGGGCTGGGACTCAGCCATTCCAGCACACTGCCTGGCTCCAGCCGGGGGTGGGGGGATGTGTGTGGCGGGGTGGCAGCCACCATGCCCTCTGCGCAGGGGTGCACAGTCTCCTCGAAGGTGCACCTGCAGGCAAAGGACGCACACAAGTGATTCCTGCCTCCTGGCCCACTGCCCCTGCCCTTGCAGAAACCCGGCGCTGCCTGTATCCTTAGTAAGATGAGAGGGTGGGTGGGAAGATTGAAGAAAAAAGAAAAATGACAACTTCAGAAAGAAAATGTTATTGTAGTCAGGTGTCTGGTTTATGCAAATCAGTGCAAATGATTATGCAAAGTAAGCAGAGTCAACCTACTTCTGTAAAGCATGGTCCCCAGCGGCCCTCTCTCCCCGCCTGGCTCCCCCAGCTGCTCACAGCCCGCTCTTCTGACTCCAGGATGCCGAGCTTGGCTGAGTTCAGAGTGGTGCCAGAAGGGCCCCAGAAACGTGCCTGTGCGTGGCTGCTGTTGAGCCATGCCTTTCCTGGCCCCTGGACCAGGGGGAGAGGCGTTCCAGCGAGGCTGGGACCAGCCTTGCCTGCCTGTGCCCTGACAAAGAACATACTGGATTAGCTGGGCCCGGGGAGGAGGTGCGCAGAGGAGGGCTGAGGCCAAGGAGCCCCCGCTCGCTACCTGTGCCAAGTCCAGGCCTCGTGTAGGCCTAGGTACCAGGGACAGCAGATTCTCTGGGCCGGGCCTGGCCCTCCCCCTGATTCCAGCTCCGTATTCAGGTGGGAGACCCTCCTTCCTCTCTGGTCCCACAGGAAGTTGGCGGGGCCCACGCGCTGGAGGGCAGGGCACTGGGGAAGCTGGGGAGAGGGGCGAGAATGTAGCTGGAAAGGAGTTGTCACAAGGCCACTCCTGGCAGCCCCATACCTCCTGCAGCCCTCTTACCCCGGGCCCCCCGGCGGGGTGAGGCGGTTCTTCCTGGGCCGGGCAGGAGTCACACCTGCTGGGCGCTGGGTTGGCCCCTGCCCGGCAGCCTCCTGACCCACTCTTCTGATCTGCTGTCCACAGGGGCTCAGCACGGCCACCAAGGACACCTATGACGCCCTCCACATGCAGGCCCTGCCCCCTCGCTAACAGGCCAGCCCTGCGGACGCCCAGACCGTGAGACACAGGATAGAGCATGTACAGCCCACTTCTCCCGCATTTCTCGGCCACCCAAGTATTCCTGTCTGTGACTAGGATGCCTTGGTCATATCTGATTCTAAGCCGTCACACCCCGAACCTCGTCCCTGGACCGTTTAGGGGAGTGCGCCCCCGGTGACAGCCCTGGTCTGGGGCCTCCTGGTTTGCTGGTGACCAGGGGCAGAGCCCACCCCCCGTGGCCCCGCGCGCCCCCTCTCGCGGCGGCGGTGCGGAGTCTGCGTTTTGTAAAGTCCCCGGCAGAGCCCCAGGCGCCGGCACTCTCCCCGTGTCTGTATCGTTCCGCCAGTGTTTGAGTGGCTTTGCTCCTGCTGTAAATTTGGTTTCTGTTGTCTGCTTTCCCCTCCTTTCAAGGCCACTTGTAACGGGGCTGTGTCGCGCCTGCCTGGGGAAGGGCTGGGCACCGGGGTGGGGGCCTGGGCAGTGTGCCGGGGGCGGCGTGGGGAAGGTAGGGGCAGGGAGAGGCAGGGAGGGTCAGCAGGGCCGCCCTCCCTCAGGCCTACACTCCGCATGCACACGCGTGTGCCGGGCGCCGCGGGACCGGACGGTGACAACACGGAGCCCGAGCTGTGCACAAAGTGGTGCGAAGAACAGCGTCATTACCCAGGATGGACAGCGCGCGGGGGAGCAGAAGGAAGGGAGCACGGCCGCGTTCCTCCCCGGCTCCTGGCTCACCTCCGCGTGCCGGGAGCGAGTGAGAAACCCGTCATCGCGAGGGAAGAGCCGGCACCCGGGACCTGTCGGGATCCCAGGGGACACGGGCTCGGCGGGAAAAACCTCAGTCCGCGCAACCAGAACCTGGCTGTGTAATTAAAGGGCACATGACCACGGAAGGAAAACCCTCTCTGCTCTACCTGGTTTTAATTTAAACTGGCTTGCCTTACTATTTTGCATAATAAAGGCTTCAGTGGAAAAAAAAAACGCTGCTTTAAGCTTTATTTTTCACAGCGGTCAAGCCTGTGCTGACAGTTTAGGAAATCAGCAGGTCGCCCTAGGAGGAGGGCGCTGCAGAGCTGCTGGATTCTGGGGGAGAACAGGACGGAGGGCGCAGGTGCACCGAGCGCCCAGCATGCTGCCTGGGGTGGCCACACGCCGTGCCAGGTGAGCGCGGCAGCCAGGCTGGGTGGCTTTGCCTCGGATAGCGAGAGCAGGGCTGGGGGACAGGATGTGCTGGGCTCCCCGGCCTTACAACAGCAGCGGGGAGGCCTGGAGAAGGGCGCCCAGCTTGAGGAGTGCAGGAGAACCAGCAGCAAGAGGCACCCATGAGCAGAGGGTGTCCCGGGTCACCCAGGCAGCTCATGCCACTGCGCAAAATGCATCAGTCCATAGGGTTTGGGGTAAAGGCAGAGGACAACAGAGCTCTTTTGGGTTAGTTTCTCTCATGAAAGGTGGCCCTGTCCCCAGCAGTACTTCCACTAACTGCAGTGGCTATGTATAAGGCCCCAACGCATCAAGCATACCAATTAATAGTTAATAAAGATTTTTTTTTTCAAAATAGAAATCTAAGACCATGACTGTTAAAAGCACTTGAAAATTTGGAATTCCAACAGGAGCAATACCTACCACTGCCAGGCACGTGTAACAATTCACAGGCAACTAAGCAGAGGAGGCATTTGATTTGCAACTAACTTGTCCTCGGAAAAATTCTGCTACTCACTGGGATTTTAAAACTGAAGTCTAACTCATCTGTTAGTGAAAGTGAGTGAGCCTCATATTAGGGCTGGCACTAGGCCTGGTTTCAAGGTCAGCTAAGTTACATACAGGCCATGTGACCTGGATGGCTGCTCTCGTATTGAAAATAAGAGAGCCTGACCTAATTCTGTCAAGAATGTGTCTCAAGAGGCGAGGGGGGAAGCTGGCAGTGAGCTGCAGTGCTGGTGCTAACCTGGTGTGGGGCATTTCAGGCTCTATGCGTGACAGCTGCGCAGACAACAAGCTGGGCAGAGCCGAGTGGACGGGCTTGCAGAAGCAGGACTGAGAAACCAAGTTCTTGAGAGAGTGAGGTACTGGATTCAAGGTGAGAGAGGCTACCCCTGAAATCTCCAGGATTCCTGACCTTCCTGAGGTCTGGCAGTGCCCTCTCCAAAGCATGAGTGTATTCCCTCCATCCCAAGACACTGTCGATTGTAAGATAAGATACACCATCAAGTCATTTCAAGGGAAAAACACTCTGCTAAATTGTAAGATGTAGCTCTGTTTCGCTTGCTAAAATGTGAAGATGTGTCTCAGAATCAAGGAAATATGGAATTTCACTTGTACTGAGGAACCAAAACATATATAAAGATTCACCTCTCAATATTTTCAAAAGTACATCACTTCAATGTCACTAAAATCAGAGGTAGGATGTGGGTATTTCTGATCACTTTTCTTCTTAAGAGTACAATTCAAGGTTATTCTTGGAAGACTCAAGGTTCTTGGTTTATAAGATTCCTGCGAACAGAGCAATACTTAAAACACCAAAGCCAGGCATGGCAGGGGAAAAAAGGGCACATGACAAATTTAGGCCAAGAGGACAACTCCAGAGGTGATTTAAAGCCTTGTCATTGGGCCAACTGTTTAGCTGTAGGCCTCATTCCGTCCATGAATAACTTGTGATGTGTTTTGGTGGCTTGGTGCTGGACATTTCAGTTGTTGATCAATAACTACTTTTGTGAACCCCTGACAGTTCCTAGTACAGATGTCCTATAACTTCAACCCCTAGTCTTTGGAGACAGAAAAGGCTCTCCAAAGAGAAAAGAGTAAGGGCAGATACTACCCACATTAGCTCTGTATATATTATCCCTGGAAGTGGGTTAGAATGTCACCACCTTTTAAAAAAGGATCATAGGGCAACAGAATCTAATCAGTAGTTTATCCTCCTTCCTTAGGATGTGACAAACCGGTTTTGCTTGCTAAAGTTTTTTTTGCTGTTAGTGAGCATGACACTGTCTCTACCAAATAGAGGATGTGTTAAAAACTTGAAATTATTTTAAGAAAATAGCTTTACAAATGTAACAGCGAGCCATAAATGTAAGAAGGGACGGGAAGGAAAGGAATGAGAAGTTCTTTGTCGCAGGAGCAGGGGAGAAGAGGACCCAGTGTTCTTTAACAAGCCGAGGCTTGTTCTCTGTGGGGAATTCATTTTAAAATGCAAAGTTTCCTTTTTACGAAATCAATGAATGGTATTATGACACTAAATGCTAAGTAGTACAATAAGCCAGAGGACGCGAAGTCGTGCACCCTCAAACAGGAGGACCAGATGCCAAGTTCAGGATTAGCTCCCTTCACAGGACTCCTAGGAGAATGAACGTTCAGGACTTGGAAAGAAATGCTAGAGGGACATGGCAGTTAAACAATAAATTCTGAAAAGTCGAGTTCAATCTCAGTTCTGCAGTCAAATGCGTAGTGAGCGGGAGCTTTGAAGAGCTCTCTCTCAGGATCAATCAAGGGCCCCAGGGTTTGATCACACAAGTGCTGGTGTCTGAATGAGACTACTGCGTCTCAACTCCGGCTCTAAACCACACCAAGGGGCGGGGGAGGGAGACAGCAGTCAGTGGCCACAGCTCCCTGCGGAGCACAGGAGGGTGCCCGACGGGCAGGAGCTTGCCCAGGGAGGGGAAGCACCAAGTGCTCAGGCGATTCGGGGGTTCCTGAGAGCATCTGCTAGTAAAAATAACCCAGAAGGCTTGCGGGGCAGTCTGAGAATAGTGTGCGTGAAGCATCCAGAATCCCAACACAGCAACTTCAAAGAAACTCAAACAGTATGAAAACACTTGGAAAATGGTTTAATGATGTTTTACAACAGAAATGAACTGTACAGTTACAGTAAGTTTAATATATATATAAAAATTACAGCAGACAAATGCATCTACACAAAATCTATCATTTCATTCTGATTCACTGTCACCTACACAATCTCTCCCAAGCCTACAGCCCCCTGCAGGCAGCCCCAGGAGGGGAATCACATAAAGGGCACTTTTAAAGAGACAGCACCGCTCATATTCCCCGCCACCTCCTCAGGCCTCAGGAGGTACCATCAGCTAATTCCCCAAAATGTAAAGTTGCTTGTGTTTCAGGTTTTTAAGACCAAGAAAACTTGTGTTTCCCAGGGGCACAGATAACAAGGTCCAGCACTTCAAGTTATCAGCTGATTCTTACAAATATTCCTATGGGGGAAATGGCTAAACAGGCGCTCTGGGGCAGTGAGGCTATACAATAGCCACCCAGATTGCAAAGTGATCTAAGGAGAAATGTAGAAGGACTCCCAATAAACTACCTAGGAATTGTCACTGCCTCATTAAAGCTGCTGGACAGTTTTGGAAAGAATCATTTACACCACATCTTAAATTTCCACAAAGAAGAACTCAAACTCACATTTTAAAGTACATAAAACAAAAAGTTCTGGGAGGCCAAGGGCTCAATTTCCCTTGTGTCCCTCCCTTGACAACAGTGGAAAAACACCCCTGAATTAATAATTAAAAAAAAAAAAAGAAAGAAAGAAAGAAAAGAAAAGGTGAGAGAGTTAAGATATTTAAAGACAGAGAGAAAGAAAACATCTTTAGAAAAACACGATCACTGTCTCTTTAAAACAAAACAAAATCCCAACTGGGAACAATAATCAGGAATAGGCAATCCAAATTGACACCTGGCGGAAGATTATTATTGAATATTATGTACACTCAGAACTTTTTCATTTTCTTTTTTATTATGAACACCTAGGCAGTGAAAACTGTTATGTTAATACATACGTAGACACACCCAAAACATACAAAAATACTATTATTTCAAACTACTAAGAATAGGACAGTTCAATTTTCATGCTATGACTTTAAGAGCATTACACTGAAACAAACAAGAAGTTAAACGACATTTTTTTTAATATCCCAGAAATATACCAAAATATACATCTAAGCTTTGGAATTACTGAGGTTAGACTAATGCAAGTGCTGGGTAATCGTACTTAATACACAAGTCTAAGGTTCTGCAGGAAAGAAATTATCTTTGGTATCTGCATCAGGCTAATATTATTAACATTTGGATTTTGCTTTGGGATAGAGCTTGTATGACCCTAGAACCAAATACCCCCCTCCCCCAATCAACTGAGATTAAAAAGATCCATGTAAAAAGTTCCTTCATTTGCAATCCCCCCACCCCCCAAGTTAAAAAGTCACAGGCATCTACCTAGCACAAAAGGTTGTGAAATACAATGCATAGTTGCACAGTGGTGCTGCAAAAAGGAAACAAAACTACAATAAAGAGAAATGAAAAGCTTGATAATCTTTCTGCATGTTTTCTCACAAACAGGACGGCCACTTCCAAGCAGTTCCAGTAAAGGAAAAGAGAAAAAAGGCTCAGAAGGGCCCCCGGCGTGCATTCGCCCAGCCCCAGAGGTTAGAGCACCCAGCAGAGCAGCCAATCGTGCACCAGTGTCTTCGATCTCCCCCACTCTGTGGAGTCCTCGGCCAGCCCAGCAGTGGCTCCCACCCTCCCTAGTCCCTGTGCTGAGTCCCTGCGGTGCCCCTGGTTGTTGCAGGGTGGATTCCAGTGGTGACGGGTTTTGTCTTTTGCTTTGGAAAACCTGAATGCCAATTTGTTTCATGGCATGCTCACAGGTCGGCAAGGGCCAGAGCTACTGAGCACGCACCTGCGGAAAAGCCTGGAAGGTGGCGAGCAGCGCGCCTGCCCTTTCCGATCAGGCAGAGGCTCCCCCTGCCCGGCCTCTCTCCTCCAAGTGCCAGGACGCCACAGACTGGATTGATGCTGAAGACTTCCCTTTTCTTTGGTTTTTTTGTTTGTTTTGAGTTTATACAATCATTAAGAAATCTTTGGTTTTGGCTGGAAATTTAAAAAACAAAACAAAACAAAGAAACCACCCTCCCCTGGCTTATAGCAGCAGTAGTGTGACCTGGCTAAGCTTTTTTCAACACTGGGGGTGGGAATTGAAGGTTGGGAACTACATTCAAAGAAAAGGTGAAAGGGCTGGGGATGCAGCTTCTAGAGAGCCCATTGGATACAAGATTGTCAAATAATAATAATATTAATAATAATAATAAACTTAAATATTTGGATTTTTGGTCATGTCAAAGGAAAAAAAGTAAAATGTGTATGCAGCAGTCAGCTTGAAGGAGCCTTTGGTGTCTTCCCTTCTACCCAAAGTCCTGAATATAAACAGAACCCTGAGGCTGCAGAGGGGAAGGGGATGGCCTCTACCCTACCCGGGAAAAGGCAAGTACAGAAGTTGATGTGTGGCCAGCCATGGGGAACTTGGGGTGGGTGGGGGTACACATAGCTGGCCAGCCCCAAAGGGCAGGGTGGCTGGGAACGCAGATGTTAAGAGACCTGTGAAGACCCCTTGCAACGAAAAGAAAGAGAAGATTGCAATTTGCCCTCAGTTTGCAGTAGCTTTTAAGCAGCGACATTCAGAGGCTTGTTCAGGGGGTCCCACCCTAGGCTACCGGTCCCGTGATGCTATAGGCCAGAGTTCAACATTACTGAGAGGAGGGAGGGCAGACTTGGCAACTCTGTAGGGTTTCGAGAAAGTTAAAGCAAGTTACTCAGTCACGAGTTAGAAATGAGGTATACAACAGCTCCTGGACTCGCGGTGGGTAGAGCAGCCCACACTCACGCACCTAACCTTCACTGCTACCACAGAGGAGGGGATGAAAGTGCGGTCTGCCGTGGGAGGAGGGTGCTTCCTGCAGAGCGAGACCTTCCGTGGAGTGAAATGCATGCATGCTCATACAAGCAGAAGAAAGAAGCTGGAAGAAGTCTTTCTCACCCCGCCCACCTGACCTTGGGGGAGACACACCATTTACGTTGTAGAAAGCCAATGTTGCAAAGTCTTATTCTCAACTTCCCTCACCCTCCACCCCCCAGCTGTTTATCTCCAACTGTTTGCAGTTTTAAACCCAACCAGGCTGGCACTAGTTCACTCTACTCTTAGAAAGTATGTGCCGTCTGCAGACGATGCAGGACTGGAACCAGAGGCATGGTATCCACCCTCCCGCCTACAACTACAGCCTTTTGTAGCAGACACTGTCGTTTCAGCTTCTGAAAGTGCATTTCATTTCCTTCTCTATTTTTCAGACCTTGAGACACTTCTAGCACTGGGTGGGAACACAAAGTCTTTTCTCTACTTGGCTTTGTCCTTTTTCATTCGAAAGAGATCCCAATTTTAAGGAACTAAAGTGTATGGATGTCTCATTTTTTACACAGCACTGTATCCAGCTGTCTGCCTGCAGACTTTGGGATAAAATGTTTGAGAACTCAATGTCGCTGCCAATTTATGAAAGAAGCCTTAAGTTGCTTTTGTGAGGGTGTGGCCAACTTATACAATGATGAACAAGTAAACAAAGAAAACTTGGGAAAACTTTGCAGCAGACCTCAACGTTTTTTACAGTAAATTAGTTTAGGGGGTCTTAACTTTTTGACAGTGTCCTGGGTTTGAGCCATAAGGTGGCAGTTGGTGGTGGAGCCCTGTGCAGAGTGGGCGGATTCAGGGACATAGAATCACAAAACACATCTTTCCTCCCAGGCCCCAGGGAGCTTTGTTTCTGTGCTCAAAGTGGTGTTCCATTATACACACCTTGTTTTCCCATAACTTTTGTTTCAAGTGCTCTTACCTTCAATGTCACTATTATCTACTTATAAACCTATCTAGCACTTTGAAAAATCACACAATATTAATACCACCTTTATATAAAGTCAGAACAATAAGATTATTAGTAAAGCTCTCATGAAGTTCTGCAACCTGACCATTTTTTTATGGAATATTCAGAGAGCAATATATTTCTTCTCTCCCTTTCTGTGTCTTACCAATGTCCACGCAACAATGAACTACCTAACTCCCCAGAGCCCAGAGATAAAAACATGTTGGAACAAAACAGTTCAACAGGAGAGAAACAGAAGATCTCTTGGTCTTCCATGTAAGCCTGCTCTTAAAAATGCTTATCCATCCTGGGGTGGGGAACCTGTAAGCCTTCTGAATCCTTGAGTGCGGCCTTTTGACTAAATCCAGATTTTACAGAACAAGTCCCTTTAATAAAGGCATTTGTTCTGTCAAGTTTGGATTCAGTTGAGGGGCCATACTTGGGGATCTGGAGTAAAGAAAAAAAATTCTTACCCCTATCTTTTGCTCTCCCCAAATTTCTCAGCAAGTCCAAGAATGCTACACAGAGTAACCCTATCCATCTTTACAGAGCCAACAGAGCAAAATGAAATAAATCTCTTTCCCAAAGCCAGGATAACCAACAAGAAGACTTCCTTCAAAAAGGAGGGAAGGAAAAGGGAAGGAAAGAGACAAAGTAAAGCTTTTCCAAATTTCAGCCTTTTGCTCCTATTCCCTCTGCCTGTCTTGAAAACACAAGGATAAACAATGAGTGACAGCAGTGTCTTTGGTATCCAAACCAAATCCCACTTAAGTTCTGTGAGATAGATCATTTGCTTAAAAAAAATAGCCTTTCTGGAGATATAGTCTATATCTGAACTCAAGGAGCTGAGGAAGTTTTGTCCCAGAGTACGCACAGAAAGGGCTTGTAATTTTCCCTAAACCAGCATCATTTCTCATTCACATTCCCATCAAGAACAATATGCTCTCCTCGATCCCACCAACCAACCAACCAACCAACCAAGGGTCACAACCATATCACAGGTGTGAGGTGAGCAGCTTAGCTTTCAACTTCTTGGTTTGGTTTTTGTTCCGTTTGTGTTTTCAATCTAGAAAGAACTAGCCTTGGTATGAGAAAAGTAAGTAAGGTTTTAAAACATTGTGCTACTTGCACAACATCCGATAACTTGACAGAGGGTGACAAAAAGAACCTGTTTCACTTTAGTTTTCCTAGATTAAGATACATCCATCACTCACCTCTTCTTTCCTCTCCAAATTAATTGGTGCATGTTTATTTCTGCCTCTATTTCTCAACTGCACACCCAGACATTCATACATTCATCCTTTGCCTACGCTTTTGCTATGTACAGAGGTAATGAATCATTACGAGGCTGGCAGGGTCTGCGGGACGCAGGCAGCCATAGGAAGGGATGTAAATGCACCCTCAGGGACCCTGAACCTACTGGAGACCCCTTATGTTACCTGCATGCCACCACACACTGTGCTGCAGATCAGACCACAGAGAGGCCAACAAATCCCAAACCCAATCACAGGGAAAATCAAGTTTCCTTTGGCAAGACAGATATAAGAAAAAACAAACATACACACACGAGCAACATTTTCCTTCTAACATAATCAACTTCTCTTATCCCACCCAACCCTCCCTAACCCTATAAATTGTAACCTATAAACAGGATCCCAAATACATACAGCATCAATCATGTTTATCAATCATAATAAACATTAGTTCAACTAAATGCTACAGCTAGAATCATTTCCACTATTTATAAAGGTTTTTCTTTTATTTATATGGTTTTTAGTTTAAAACCAGTTCTGCAACAATGCTAAGCTATGCTGAGGTATTTTATGAAGGTGCCAGAAGCTAGCTGTTACCCAGATTAAGGTACCACCATTCAAAGAGAAAAAGAAGGGAAAGAAAAAAGGAGATCCAGGTTACAGAATCAACAAAAGGTTCACTCAAATTTACTGCTTTTAACAAAGGCCAAGAGTAGAAGAGCCAAAACAAGGAACTGCTTCGTGAATAAGGACAGTTGGAAAAAAGCAGCCATTCACAAACCATACAGAAAACTGGTATGAACTGGACAATTCTGAGAAAAACACATTCCCTGCCTTCCGGTGGAATCCCTTCCAGTATCTTACTGGGAATCTCAGGGTTGTCCCATCTAATTTCTTTGGATTAAGAAAAGGATGATTAACTTTTAATGATGAAAGTGATTTATTTATCCTATTATTGTCCAAGCTTACATTTGTATTTTGTGCGCTGTCTATGCAAACCTATATAATAGTTCATCTTAGGTATTCTTCTTAGAGGAATGGCAAAGAATGATTTTTTTTCCTTCTCCAAAGAGAAGGTAAATGCTAAGAAAGACTTATCACTTTATAAAGTGTCATCCTCAAATGTTTTAAGACTGAAAATGACTCCAAATAGCCAAGACTATGATTTTACACGAATGTCACATATTAAATGTTTTTCATACATATTAAAGTGAACTCATATCAGTTACGAGGAAATGAATGCAAAAATTCTTGTTCACTTGGAAAATTTAAAATTTTAGGTCTTTAGTCTTTTTCTTCCCTTAGTATTAGTCATCTTTTAACGTTTTCAACTCCAATAAACAAGGTTTGAAGAACAAATAAACTTTCAATTCATCATCTAGATGCTGATTTAATGAGAAAGTATTTGACCAAACTCTCCTAATGAATTGCTGAGGTCTTTCTTTAATTGAGGACTGGTCTTTGGAGGGCCTCTATGGGCTGAGGCCAAAGCAGCCTACTAGCATGAAGGCTAGTCCTGGCCTTCCAACATCTCCCTGGCGTCGCTTCTCCCTTCTTGGGGAGAACAAAAGAAAGAGGCTTCTCTGTCTTCTTATCTCGATAATCTTATTTCTCTTCTTGGTCAAGAATGTTTTGTGAGGATGATATAGTTTGGGAATAGCTTTAGACTATGAATTACAGAGAGCTTCTTCTGTAAGCCAAGTGTTTGTTATATACCAATTGCAAAGTTTTCTATCAGGATTTACAATTTTAAACATTTGCATGAATTCCCTATGTTTGCGAGTGTATCTGGCTTTTCCAGCAAGTTGAAATGAAAATAATAATGTTAAAGATTGGGTTGAATTTAAATGTTGTGTCAAGCAAATATCTGTGCTTCTGGATAATATAGACAAGGTTTCCCTTATCTTCCTAAATAAATGAGATATAATGAGACAAAATAACATTTAAAAGAGGTATAATTGTGCTTTTTTTCCCAACAACAAATGATGTAGAATAAATTGGCAAGATAAGATGATGTGACTAAAAATCTTTTAATCAATCTTATTTTCCCTTTTTTTAAAACAAAAAAAGATTAATTTCTTATAATGCTACCATGAAGCATATATAGGTATGGTCCTATACAAAATGAAAGTTGGATTCCTTTGGTTCCATTTCTCGAGTAACAAGTTGAGTAAATTGGGATGGTATTGATCTTTCTGATAATAAATAAAAGGAAGTGTGTATTATATCAATGAATATAAACAAATTTGTTTCTTAATTCTAAAAAGCTGCCTATAGAACTTCAGAAACATTTAAACAAATACAGAACTCAACTTAGTTCTTAGAACAATACAGTAATATTGTTCTTGTGAGAAGCCCTTTTTTAGGTCTTCCTGCTCTGTCCTTCAGATTTATACAGGGTATAAATAAAGTTTATGACCAAATTGCACCACTTGTGACAAGCAGGATTCAAACAATTACATTCACCACTCCCTAGGGAGGGCCCATTACCATGGGCAAATATAGTATTACTATAAATGCATTTAGAATTAGTCTTTGGCTTAGTATGTGTTAACCAAATTCAGGGATAAAATAAAACTTGCATAAACATTAAGTGGGAACAAAAAGAATGATATAATGAATTGTGATGACCTATCTGGCCTTCTTCAAAATGCAAAAACTCTACCAAACACCTCTTTTTGGTCAAATAGCCCCCTATAGTTTCCAGACTCTCCCTTATATAAGGTGGCTAAAAGTTAAATTTGAGTACCTTAGCTTAGGAGATCATTCATTCAATTCAAAATGCATTTCTTGAGATGATAAAAAAAGATGATAGAAAGTAAAAAATGACTAGGGTGTTTATGAAGCAATATGATCAGCAGAGTATGATCATCAGCTAGGGATGGTGATGGGGAGTTGATTTAAACTAAACACCCACCAACAAACTATATTAGTGTTTCATGTGTACACATGTACATGTACCTTTCATTTCACAACTTACTTTTAAATAAGTGAAAAAAGAGAAAAGATTTTATCTTTGCCCAAAGATTATTCTTTTAAACAGATTTTTTTATGCTGGTTTAAGGTACTACCCTCATCAAGCGATCTATACTCCAAAAGGCAGAATCCCCTTATGTCAAATTGACTAAAAAAATACAGAACAGGGCATAGAAATAAATGACTATTGTACTGACATTTAAAGCTTAGTATCTTTTTTAATATTAAAGTCTTTTGCTGAATCTTATTTGGGAAAGGGATCATTTCTTTAACCACATGTGAAAAAAACAAAAACAAAAACAGTCTTTTCTTGCCCTTCTTCCTGACTCACTGGGCTTGAGTCCCTCGAGACTCCACACTTCCTTTGGTAGCAATTTTGGGAAATTAATGCTATAACTTCTAATCCAGTGTGGTGGGTATCAGCATTTTCCTCCCCAAATCCTTCCTCTTCTAACTTTCACCATTCCCAAGAGAAGGACTCATTGCTAAGGGCAGCTACAGTATCACTGACAGCCCTAAAATCATTTGCACAGACTAAAGTTAGAGATGGCAAGTCAGGATAGAAGATTAAGTTTAACTACAACAGATAAAAAGCAGATGGAGAGGAGAAAAATTAGTAACTGACACTGCCATTCTATTTACATACCAACCTAAATAAACTAGTTAAACAACATCAAGTTAATGTCTGCCCAGAAGATATTACAATTTACCAACATAAAAGATTAAAAACAAGCAGCAACTTTTATATAAAATTAATAAAGACAAATGAAAAAGAAATTGTCAGTAGCATCTATCTCCTCGATGTGTCTGAACTGCACATTATAAACTAGTCCATTAGTACAGCAGCTTGCTAAAAATTGACTTTGGTTCAAGCTTAGTTTTAAAAAAAAACATAAAAAACACACCACACAAAAAAGGTGGATGGACATTTGTTAATTTCCCTGCTTGCAGTTCACTGATTTTGGGGGGATTTTAGGGAAGGTGAGGGGTAAGAAGAGGAAATTTAGGGGTGGTAATTTAAATACTTTGTGAAATAAAATAAGGCAGAAAAAAACAACAAAGAAAAATTTAAAAGGGGACTAAAATATTTTTGACCTTTTAATATTACTGTGACCGTCTCCCATTTAAATCACAAACAAAAGTCCACACTGTGTCTGTATCACTGCCTTTCTGCACAATGGTGAAGAGAGACAAATACACAAATCCAAACTCCCTGGTGGATACAAGCAAAGCAACCAGATTGAAAACCACCTGTAAGCTCTCTCTATATCCCCAGCTTGAAAGGGACAAAAAGTGCAGTCTTGGGACCACTGGAGATTTAAGCAAGCACCCACAGACACCAAATGGAACCTTTAACTCCAATAAGAAGGGTAACTTAGATGAGCTGCACTGCAGTAATCCAGTCTTCTGGAAAATTTTTTGGTACAGATGGTATAGAAACAGTACATTGACAAAAAGGGAAATTTAATCTCCAAGTTACCCTCGTTCCTCTTCATCCACTTTCACAAGCTCTTACTTTCAGTGGGCTCATTACATAGTTTAGAAACACCCTGAAAGCAATTATAGGAAGGAGCTAATCACTTTCTACACTGAATAAAGAGATGTGAATTACTTTGCAGGAGCATCACGAACAAACCAAGGAGACTCTTGAGATGTGTGCAAAGTTCCTGCTCAAAGTCCTTCTTCTTTAAAGGTTCTACAGATCCCAGGCCTGGCTAATAAGTGCCTCCTTTAGTCAGAGAACCAAGCGGAATCTCAGGGACAGAGGAACTTATAAGCCATCCAGTGGGAAGGAAATCTGCAGATTGCTAGAGGAAAAGGTGGTAACCTCAGACTCTTCTCATCACACCTCTTTTGGAAATATAATTGATGGAAAATAGTCTAGTAGAATTCCTTTAGAAAATAAAAGAAGGGAAAAAGTTCCCCAATTTCAGTAAGTCAGTTTGTTCTTTGCCAAGTAAGTTAAAGGAAGTTTTGGATGAAAAACTTCTGAAAAATGGAAAAAACAAACACACCAACAGCAGGAGCATTTTTCAGGAGATAAGAAATCAGGAGAACCACCAAGTCAGGTGTCTGCAGTAGTCTTTGCTCTTCGGAACCAAATCCTGCCCTGCAACACGTACAGCTGTTCCCATCGAAAGTAGCAGAAAGCAGCACTGCTGCACCACAGGATCTGGGCCTCAGGGTCATTCAATGATTTGGGGGTGAGTGAGAGCTACAGTTCAGCAGGAATTCCTTCCTACACAAAAGTGCTCCAAAGGCACCACCTGATGGGGGAGGGGGAGGGGACATTTGTGGAGTGGGAGTGTTTGCACACACTGCCTTCAGCTTCTGCACCAAGCCTCTTGCATAAGTGGCAAAAGAAAATAATTTTCTAGCACCTCTGTAAGAGTCATCAAGGATAAGGAAACCAGCAAGAACATTCCCCGCAGTTAAGAACAGAAGTCTCCCCTTACCCCGAAACCCTCCCTCCCCACAGTGTGGGAGCTCACTGAAATAGGATCCAGGAGCAAGAGATAAACATGTCCAAACTATATATATATATATATATATAAAAAACAATAACAACAACAACAATAATAATAGAGATACAGTAATACAGGCCTGCCTAAATTGTACCAGTTAAGAAAGGAACCCCCAACACAATTGATACGATTATAAACACCTTGTTATGACTTAATGGCCTGTACAACAGACCCATAAAAATGATTTTTTTTAAGATAAAAAGAAATTTAGATAAACAAGAAACCCCCTTCCTATATTGGAATTGGTAACCCACCTTAACTTGTCATCATGACTGCTGGAAATGATAAGTAGTCCTTTCACTTATTTTTTTGTTTGTTTGTTTTTGATTTTTTGTTTCTTTTTTTTTTTTAAATTTTTGGTTAGAAAGTTTTCCAATCCATGAAGCACTCCTGAAAAGACAGTGTTTTATTATAAAATTAGGCAAATGTTGTCCCATCTCCATCCTTTCTTTTCTTTTCTGGTATGTGTTTTCCTTCTCTCCCTTCTCTCCTTTGCCCTCACAACATGGCGAGAGGAAGCCAATCACATTTTTCAGTTTATTAACCTGGCTGGCAGCCCAATCACACTGCAGAGTGAGTGAAAAAGGCTCCTGGCAGCCCAGCTCTGCCCAGCTCACTGCGCCTTGGAGGCGGTGGTGGTGGTGGATGCAGCCCCGCTGGCAGAGGCCACTGTGAAGAGAGAGTTCTGGATGGACTCAGCTGAGGTGGAGGTGGCGTGAAGGCTGGCTACAGGTGCAGAGTTCCCTGCAGAGGCTGCGGCAGCAGAGACCAAGCTAACCGGGTTGCTGGTGAGCAGAGAGAGGTTCTGAGGGTTCAGGAACAGAGGGGCAGTCACGATGTTGGGGGCTCCTCCTGCATTGGCAAATACCAGGTTCCCAGTTGCATCCAGTGACGTTATTGGAAGAGAGCCACCAGAAGCAAGAGCTACAGACAAAAATCCCAAAAAACAGTAAGAAGAATGTTAACATTATCCTGGAGAAGCCAAATAGATTCAAAGGTCTTGAGTTTTCCCATAACTCAGTAGGAAAAAGTGTAGCCTTTCAGTGATTTTTTTCCTCAATCACAGTGCTGCATTGACACAAGTTATGGTTTATTTATAATTTTGAAGAGCCTAAAGGACAAAGAAATCCAACTAATTTAATGAGTATGAGCAGGGTAGGTTAGGAGAGAGAGTTAATAAGAACTGTCTAATGAATCAGAGTCATGTTTCTATCTTGAAATCTCAAGTTTATTAATTTACCTGGACATATTTGATAAATCCAATAATTTTGTCTTTAATGAAGAGTGCTAATTTTAAACTACCTCTATTCAAAAGACAAGCTAGCTAAAGTAATTAAAGCATTAAAAATATATTTAGCTCTTATAAATCAATTGGTCTTATTGATAAATTTGATATATGAAACAAAAGCCATCTTTCAAAAAAGGTTTTGTTCTAAAATAAATTATACATCCCAAATAAAATAAAACTTTTGGCTCTGACAACTCTCATTTAAGCACAATTATTTTATTTTTATTTCATTTTTTTTTTTTTTACAGATGGGGTTCTTGATATGTTGCCCATGCTGGAGTGCAGTGGCTATTCACAGGTGTTATCATAGTGCACGGGAAGCTCAAACTCCTGGCCTCAAGTGATCCTCAACCTCAGTCTCCCATCAAACTATTTTAATTTTAAGAAAAAAATATTCCCTGATTAATATAGTGATGTCTCTCAAATTGTTTCCTTGAATCACATAACAGCAAGCATCTGCAGACACAAAGCTTGGATGCTACACAAGGGAAACACTTCACTGTGTGGAATGAATATTGTCCTGGATAACATGCTAAAAGGCTACAGGGACCCAAGTAGGCTTGGAAAAGAGACATTATAATGCAAGAGAATATGTGCTCCTACTGATTGGGATATAAAAAGAGCAGAACCTAATAAAAGTACCCCTGAAGTCTACCTAATGTGCTCCAATGTTAATTCATTCATTATAGAACTTTCCCATACATGGCTTTCTTAGAGGTGAGGATGAGGAATTGGGAAGTCTTATCTGGTCAAGTCTGCCTGGAGAGGGGTCTTAGATGAGTACTTGGATAAATTTATGGGGGAAAAATCTGCCTCCAAGTCTATTCACATAAGATAAATATAAAAGTATAAATATAAAAATAAATATAAAAATAAAAGTCCTGGATAAACAAAATGGATAGACCTATCGCTAGATTAGACAGGAATATAAGAGAGAGGACCCAAATAAGCTCAATCAAAAATGAAAAAGGAGATATTACATTTGATACCACAGAAATATAAAATATTATCTGTAAATACTATGAAAATCTCTATGCACATAAACTAGAAAATGTAGAGGAAATGGACAAATTCCCGGAAACACACAACCTACCTCCCAATACTCAATCAGGAGGAAACAGAACTCCTGAACAGACCAATAATGAGCAGCAAAATTGAAGCAGTAATAAAAAAATCTTCTAACAAAAAAAGTCCTGTACCAGATGGATTCACAGCCAAATTCTACCAGACCTATAAAGAAGAGCTGCAGAAATTATTCCACACTGCACAAACTCTATAACATGGAGATACAGGGAATCCTCACCCATTCTATGAAGCCAGTATCACCTTGATACCAAAGCCAGGAAAAGTCACAAGGAAGTGAAAGATCTCTACAAGATGAACCACAAAACACTGAGGAAAGAAATCACAGATGACACAAATGGAAAAACATATCACGCTCAAAGATCACTAGAATCAACATTGTTAAAATATCTATACTATCCAAAGTGATTTACAGATTCAATGTAATTCACATCAAAATACCAACGTCATATTTCACAGATCTAGAAAAACTAATTCTACACGTCGTTTGGAACTGGAAAAGAACCCAATATCAAAGCAATCTTAAGCAGAAATAACAAATCTGGAGGCATCATGTTATCAGATTTAAAACTATACTACAAGGCTATAGTAACCAAAACAGCACTGTATGGGCACAAAAATAGAGACATAGACCAATGGAACAGAACAGAGAACTCAGGTATAAAACCATCTACATATAACCAACTCATCTTTGACAAAGCAGACGACAATATATACTGGGGAAAAGAAGCCCTATACAATAAATGGTGCTGGGAAAATTGGATAGCCACATGCAGAAAAATGAAACAGGATCCCTATCTCTTACCATTCACAAAAATTAATTCAAGATGGATAAAAGCCTTAAATGTAAGACATAAAACCATAAGAATTTTAGAAGAAAATGCAGGAAAAACTCTTCTAGATATTGGCTTAGGCAAAGAATTTATGAAGAAGATCACAAAGGCAATTATGGCAACAACAAAAATAAATGAATGGGACTTGTTTAAATTAAAAAGCTTCTGTACAGCTGAGTACATAATCAACAGAGCAAATAGACAACCTACAGAATGGGAGGAAATGTTTGCAAACTATATTGATAAAGGGCTTATTACCAGAATCTACAAAGAACTCAAAGCAGCAAGAAAAAAAATAACCCTATTAAAAAGCGGGCAAAAAACATCAACAGAAGCTTTTCAAAAGAAGACAGACAAATGGCCCACAATGAGATATTACCTTAGCCTTGTTAGAATGGCTTTTATTTAAAAGTCCAAAAACAATAGATGCTGGTGTGGATGTAGAGAGAAAGGAATGCTTATATAGTGTCAGTGGGATGGCAAATGAATATAATCTCTATGGAAGACAGTAGGGAGATTTTTTAAACAAATAAAAGTAGACCTACCATTCAATCCAGCAATCCCACTACTGGGTATCAACCCAATGGGAAAGAAGTCATTTTATCAAAAAGACACCTGTACTCAAATATTTACTGCAACACAATTCATAATTGCAAAAGTCTGGAATCAACCCAAGTGCCCATCAATTCATGAGTGGATTAACAAAATGTGGTATATGTATATCATGGAGTACTACTCAGCCATAAAAAGGATGAATTAATGCCTTTTGCAGCAATTTGGATGGAAGTGGTGACAATTATCCTAAGTGAAGTATCTCAAGAATAAAAAAACAAATACCATATGTACTCTCTAATAAACTGGAACTAACTGATGGGCACACATGTGCACAGAGGGAAGTAAAAGTCATTAGAAACCAAGCAGTGGGGAGGGGGCAAGAGGAGAGGGGAAAACCTGCAGTGAACACTATTCAGGTGATGGGCACACTTACAGTCCTGACTCAAGCATTACAAAAGCTATCCATGTAAGGGGGTATCTTTGTACCCCCTTAAAATTTTGAAAAACAAAAACCAAAAAAAGTCCTGGTCTCATACAATATACCCAACTAAGTATATTTCCTGTTCTTACGCACAAACTAAACCTATACTTTTCTTACAAAGCTTTTTTACAAGGACATTTTCTTGGTCTTCAAGAACAAGTTAGTATTTGTCTTTCCCCATTACTTCACCTCTAGCAAAGTAGGCTTCCATTACACACACACACACACACACACACCCACACAAGCTAAGTAAGCAAAAGGGTCCCACTGACCTTGAATAGTTGCCAGTGTACTGTTGCTCATCAAAGCTGGGCTGAGAGCACCGCCCAGGGTCCCTGGATTGAGACTGAGTAAGGCACCTCTGCAAGTCCAAAAGAGGGGTCACTTAGTACCATGCAGACACATCTGTCAGTTTGACAACACATCCAAAGGGGATAAAGAAAGAAAAATGCAGCTGGGGAAGTATGTGGAAATATCTGTTATTTTCCCTTACTCTTACATGGTTTGGCCAATAGTTCTCAGTTACTGGTTTCCTTGATGCTTATTTGTAAAAATAAGGTTACAATCAGCATAAAATGCAAAACTTTTACTGTCATTCTGACTCTTTGAATGACTTCATTCTCTGTTTTCCAAAACTCCAGAAAAAAGGATATGTTTACAAGATGATTTTTATAATATTTGACAATAATATAAAATTGGGACTTTTATTACTCTATCTCTTATCTATGTTAGAGAATTAGAAAGCTGACAGTTGAGCGTTTAATGGAGAAAACAGAGTCAGGAATTCTGGCCTTTCTTCCTCATCACTGAGGGAATCAGTGACCTGGTAGTCTGGGCCATAATCTGGAAACAAAGGTATGACTACTGCCCTTTCTAGGGTGTAGGAAACTTAAGCTCAACTATAATCAAGGTCCTTGCATGATCAAAGAACAGCCCGTTTCAAAGAGATTATCATTTTAAAGAGATGTTGTTTTCATTTGAGATGGTGATGAAAAGTCTCCCCTACGAGTAATTCCAGGCATGATGTCTTAGTTGTTTCTCAGATGTGACTGAGATGAGAAAGCACCTTACCCAGCTGCAAACTGTGAGGGTGCCATCAGGCCTGGGTTTAGTCCTGCAGCAGCAGCCATGGCAGCAAGACTGGCATTTGCTGGCAACTGTGCAGCTCCTTGGAGGGCGGCAGCTGCTGCTGTTTGCAAGCCTGATGCTGTCACCATCACCTGGCTGGTCCCAAGAGGGGAGGACAAAGGAGTGGAGGTGGTCTGTGTTGTGCTGGTCTCACTGGCACTGGATGCCTCGGAGGTGGAGGCTGAGGCAGAAGGGGAGGGACTCAGAGAGGGGGACGTGACTGCTGAGGAAGCTGGAGGTGCTGTGGAAATCACGGTTGCCGTGTTGTTGGAGGTGGTGTCTGTAGTGCCTGAAAAGAGAACGGATTAGCAAATGACCTTATTGAAAAGAGAACTGGATTAGAAAATGACCTTTATTGAAAAGAGAACTGGATTAGAAAATGATCTTCTATAAATGATTTTTAAAAAATGGTGGCTTTATTCAGTTACACTCTGGAATCAATGGCATAATTAAACTACTAACCAATAACCTCTAAATTGGTCTTTTTATTAACCTAGTCTAGTATTTCCATGGAAAGTAACCACAAAAACAGGCATTTTAGAACCAAAGCTATGAACCCTATACTTTAAGAGACAAGAACAATAAAGCAACCATAAAAGAAACAGAATAGTTTTCCACTGCCAATTTCCTATTCAAAAAACAAAAGAAAGAATCACAGAAACTCTCATTATGGAATAATGCTCTGGGGAAGAAACATAAGCAAAAAAGGAAAGATTCTGTAAAGCTCTTTTTCATTCAGAAATCTCCCTAGTAGTCTCCATAAGAAAATCAAAACAACAAGGACAAGAAAAACTGCACATTAAATACCTTTCTAAGAATTGTCAACAATATACAGAGATAAGTATATAAATAAATAACTAAAGTTATATGTCTAGATGGCTTGCTTGCATTAGAAAATTCATTTAGCTCTCAAAAGTCCACTGTGGTAAACCTTTTCTTATTTATGGAAAAAACAACATACAATGATACTATGAATCTCATAAAAGCACATAAAATGAGGATCTATGAAATTATTATTTGCATGGCCTTAAAAAAATCAAGGTGCCTGAATCTGTGTTTAAGAAGAAGAACAAATGTTTGGATATAAATGACTAATTGACATTAAAAATACCATTACTAATACTAAAACACATTCACTGGGATTATTTCATGTTCAAGATCAGCTCTGCCTAACAAAAATACAATACATATGTAATTTCAAATATTCTAATAGCCCCATTGAAAATAGTAAAAAAAAAAAAAAAGTGAAATTAATTTCAATTATGTATTCTACTTAACCTAATATATCCAAAATATCATTTCAAGATAAAATCAATATTAAAAAATAGTTTTCCTTTTTCCTAAGTCTGGAAATGGTATGTATTTTATAATTACCGCACATCTAAATTTGAATTAGCCACATTTTAAGTGCTCAAAAGCCACTTGTGGCTAGTGGATGACATATTAGATACTAAAGATCTGAAATATGTCTGGAAGTTAGGCCCGCAGGGACCCAGAGGCAAGTGTGACTTAAAGAATGTTAAGTTACTCTGCCTCTAGTAGAAATGGCTCATAAGGCTCTCATGGGATAAATAACCTTCCACATAGCAGAAGACGCCAACTGTCCCCAGTGAGCTGTAATTTTGATGCTACCTATAAAGGAGAGTATGTAAAGAACAGGCCCTCTTATTCCAGTTATCAGTAAATGCTACATGTTACAAAAACAGGTTGTCTAGGCCGGGCGCGGTGGCTCACGCATGTAATCCTAGCACTCTAGGAGGCAAAGGCGGGCTGATCGCTCAAGGTCAGGAGTTAGAAACCAGCCTCAGCAAGAGTGAGACCCCGTTTCTACTAAAAATAGAAAGAAACTAAGTGGCCAACTAAAAATATATAGAAAAAATTAGCCAGGCACGGTGATGCATGCCTGTAGTCCCAGCTATTCGGGAGGCTGAGGCAGAAGGATCACTTGAGCCCAGGAGTTTGAGGCTGCTGTGAACTAAGCTGACTCCATGGCACTATAGCCCGGGCAACAAAGTGAGACTCTGTCTCAAAAACAAACAAACAACCAAAAAAAACAGGCTTTCTAAACTAGCTGAACTTAATTTAATGAAATTCACTATGTTGTAGGATATAATCAACCATATACAGTTGGTTCTCTGTACTTGCAGGTTCTGTTCTGTGGATTCAACCAACTGTGGATTGAAAATATTTGAAAAATAAAAAACAATACAACAAAAATAGTATAAATTAAAAAAATACAAAATAACTACATATATAGCATTTCCATTTTATTAGGTATTATAGGTAATCTAGAGATGATTTAAGTATACGGGAGGAAGTACACATGGTATATGCAAACACTCTGCCATTTTATATAAGCAACTTGAATACCCTCGGATCTTGGTATCTGGTGGGGGTCCTGAGGATATTGATGGATGACTATATATATAAAAAGCAGAACCTAAGCAGTATTTTATCAGGAGAGAGAATTCAAAAAGACAAAAAAAAATTTATAATTTTCAATATAATATAATTCTCTGAGGTATGGAAGACTTTCAATATTAAAAAACTTAGGCCAATCAAAATAAATATTTCAAACCTATGAGGGTATCACATTGAAAAAAGTTTTATGTAAAAGATAACATTTCTTTGGTGATACATCTATTACTAAGCTGCAGAACACTCTCTTCTCTCATAATAGCCTTACCACAAATTCAGGCAGTTTTTTTCTTAAAAAAATCTGTTTTGATGCCTTACTCAGGTCTATTCTAAGAACATCTAGAATTAACTTTTCTTATTTCTACTCGGTTTCTTTTTTTTTTTTTTTTTTTTTGAGACAGAGTCTCACTTTGTTGCACAGGCTAGAGTGAGTGCCGTGGCGTCAGCCTAGCTCACAGCAACCTCAAACTCCTGGGCTCAAGCAATCCTTCTGCCTCAGCCTCCTGAGTAGCTGGGACTACAGGCATGCGCCACCATGCCCGGCTAATTTTATATATATATATATTAGTTGGCCAATTAATTTCTTTCTATTTATAGTAGAGACGGGGTCTTGCTCTTGCTCAGGCTGGTTTCGAACTCCTGACCTCAAGCAATCCGCCCGCCTCGGCCTCCCAGAGTGCTAGGATTACAGGCTTGAGCCACCGCGCCCGGCCACTACTCGGTTTCTTTTCACATGCCACAGAGCTAGGAGAAACTTAGATATCATCTATATCAGCACTAACTCTTAATCTCCCTACCTCCTACAGTGCTGCACAAAAGTGGTTATGTGCTTGCTGAATGAATGAGGCAAACATGTCTTTCTTATTGTTAATTGACAAGGGAGGATTTATTCTTCTTTCTGCCCTTCTCAAAAATATAAATTATTTCTTCTTATTGCTGCTTCCCCTAAATATAATTACATCTTTGTGGATATTATTAACCATATTTCCATTCTTTATTTCTTCTGTTCTGAATCTATCAGACCTATCTGTATCACTAAACACATGAAGCTGTGTTGGGTCCTGTGTTTGGCAGATTCACATACATTTTTTCACTTTTATCCTCTTTTCCTAAGACCTGTTCCTTGTCTTATAGAAAGGCAAACATCTTTTCTTATTTCTCCTCTACTGCTAAGAAATTTCAACATACTTATAACATTTCCTTGACCAATTTCTCACCTTATCTAACCTTATTTTACTGATTGGCACTACTTCCTTTCAAAGTTCTGAAATTGAAACTGCCCATTTTCATAAGAACTAATATCTTGAGGTCAAAAGGCTTACAATAGCTATTTTTTTTTACTCTCCACAACCACTTTCAAAGCATTCAGAATCTCTTTTCTAAAATCCCATACGTTTACAAAGAAAATCTCAGTTAAATTTTATCAGTGAATTTAACCTGAGTCAGGAGATGCTGACTCCAGAAACCACACAAAGTTGTTTTTTCTGGTTGTAAGTCTCCAACCACATTCTACATTCTAGGTATCTTCAATATAAATGTCATATATGCACTTATGACTTAAATGTAAGAAAATAAAAAAAAAATATATATGCACTATGGTATAACAATTTAACATGATCTTTAATTCTCCCAGCCAGCAAGTCATGTTTTAATCAATATACATTTTATATGACCTTAAATTCTTGGCAACTTCACAATTTAATTACTTGGGCAACTTTAATCAGTGAACTTAGGCTTGCTGAGCCTCAATGTCCTCAACAACAGAATAAAATGCCACCACCCACTTCACAGAATTGGTAGGATGTCATATCCATGCAATGTGTACAGTGTGTGTGGCACTCCCTTGTGCTTTCCACTTCTTTTTTTCAAAAAATAGCTTTACTGAGGTACAATTTATATACCATAAAATGTGCCCAATTTAAGTGTAAAATTCAATAACTTTTAATTAATTTACAGAATTGTACAACCATCACCATCCAGATTATGACATTTCCGCTTCCAAAACAGATCCTTTTGCCTGTTCATAGTCACTTCCCACTCCCACCTAGTCATCTGCTTTTTTTCTCTACAGATTTTCCCTTTTTGGACATTTCACATAAATGGAATTGTACAGTATGTACTCTTTTGCATCTGGCTTTTTTAACTTAGCATTTTGTTTTCAAGGTTTTTACATGTTGTAGCATAAATCAATACTTCATTACTTTTTATGGCTGAATAATATTCCATTGTCTAGATGTATCACATTTTGTTTATTTATTTACCAGTTACTAGGTATTAGCTTGTTTTCCAGTTTTCAACTATTACAAATAATGCTGCTGTATGAACATGTAAAAATTTTTGTGTGGAAATGCTTTCATTTCTCTTGGGGAAACTGCTAGGCAGGATGGTAAATTTATGTTGAACTTCTAAAGGAACTGCTCAAGTGTTTTCCAAAGTGGCTGTTATCATTTTACATTCCTACAAGCAATGCGTGAGAGTTACAGTTTTTCTGCATCCTTGCCAATGTTTATCATTTTTGGTGTGTTTGATTATAGCCGTTCTCATGAGTATAAAGTGGTATCTCATTGTAGTTTCAATTTGCTTTTCCCTCATGTTGAGCATCTTTCCACGTACTTATTAGTCACTCCTGTATCTTCTTTGGTAAAATGACTATTGAAATCTTTTGCCCATTTAAAAAACTGGGTTGTCTATATTCTTACTATTGAGTTGTAAGAGTTCTTTATACATTCTAGATACAATTCGTTTATCAGATACATAACCGCAAATGTCTTCTCCCAGTCTGTGGCTTGTCTTTTCATTTTCTTTCAGGTTGTCTTCCGAAGCACAAAGATTTTAATTAAGTCCAATTTATCTTTTTTTTTTTTTTTTCTT